TTCCTGCTTTTTGCAATCACTTCCCAAATAAACTGCTTACACAAGCTCGTGTCTCACCTGTGTTTTGGAATACAAAACGAAGACAACAGGAAAACCAAGCAAGGCAACCCAGCCCCTACTCTCATCAAGTGAAAGACAAATATAGGGACTCCATCCAAAAATAAATTGATACCCACCTTAACACTCCCACCAAGAATTAAGGAGTGGGCAGGTCCCCAAGCTAGCAATCCCAGCACAATCACCCGGCAGAATCAATTATCACCACCAGGAGTCAGTAGCACTTCTCTTGTGTTTTTCAGAACATCTGATTTGTCCATTGACAGCTACCACTTAATGCTGGGAACATCTGCTTGGTGGAACCTGAGTCAGATACAGGATTTTAGCTGCAATGGATACTGGTTTCCATTGCTGTGTAAGAAATTACTGCAAACATAATAGTTTAATAAAAAGAAATGTACTCCCTCACATCTGGAAGACAAAAGTTCAAGATCAGTGTCACAGGGCTGAAACCAAAGTGTCAGCAGGGCCAGTCTCCAGAGACTCTAGGGGATAATCTATTCCTTCCAGCCTCTGACGGCTGCTGGCATTCTTGTGGCCACATCACTCTATATCATCTATCCCTTGGTGGTTTCAGGAATTTCTTCTCTAAGTGTCAAATCTTCTCTCATTTATAAGAACACTTGTGATTGCATTTAGAGTGTACCTGGACAACCCAAGATAATCTCATCAAATAATCCTTGATTTAATCTGTACAACTCTTTCCATATAAGGTAACATACACAGATACCAGAGATTGAGATCTGATATCTCTGGGGGCCATTATGCAGTCTTCCATATCTGGGAAAGAGCTTTTACCTTTCAAGCTTATTTAATGAGCAAAGGCCTGCTGCCAGTGTTGGACTGGTTGCACGTTAAGTGAGCCATTATACATTATCTACTATACTCCCCCAACAGCAAAATTAGTCATCTGATAAACTCTCACCCACAGACCCAGAAGACAAAGAAAGGTTCGGCAAAGCCAGGAAGGGGCTCAGCCCTGACTTGGAAGAAACAAGAAGTTTAGCAACTCTTGGGACAAACACAGGGTAAGCTGAGAAGGAGGCTAAAACTGAGGGACAGGAGGTGGAAGGTGGTGGGGGGAGAAGGTATCAAAGGAATAAAAGAAGGAAAATAGGAAGAAGACGACTCCAAAATTTTCCAATGTAACAAGAGCTCCTGGGAAACCAAGGGCCGAGTGCTGGGGGAAATTGGCTGAGGTGGAGGCAAGGGATCAGGCCTGGGAGAAGAGATGCTACCAGTAAGACGTGAGCATCTGCTTCAGTTCAAGGTGGAGGAAGGGAATGTGTTCCGGAGGAAATGTGCATGTGGCTTTCATCTAACAGAATGGATCACAATTTGACATATCGTGAATCCCAAAACTTTTTTTTAAGGATTTCAATCAACTTGAAATAAAACGTTTAAAAACAGTTCAAATGGAAAGAGCCCTCTGGGAATTCCCTGGCGGTCCAGTGGTTAGGACTTGGCACTGTAACTGCCAGGGGCCGGGGTTCGACCCCTGGTTGGGGAACTAAGATCCCACAAGCTGTGTGGCATGGCCAAAGAAAAAGAAGGAAAAAAAATTTTTTTTTAATTAAAAATTTTTTTTTCTTTAAAGAGGAAAAGAAAAAAGAGAAGAAAAAGAGCACTCTGGGCAGGAAGTAGGACTGAAGCAACTAGTTATAAAATCAGGCTTTGTCTCATGGAAAAGGGAAGACGACTTCACTCAGCACAGAGCCTTGGAAATCATCCCCTGAAACACTGTACCCCAATCAAGGAACTGATGGTGCGTCCTGCTAGACTTAGCCAGGGATGGCTAAGTGCCTCCCCATCCCACTGCCCTTGATGTTGGTATCCCATCTCTGTGTTACCATTGCCTGTTGAGTGTTTGCAGGGCAGGTGACTGGTCACTTCAGGTCACACATCTTCAGATTCAGAGCAACCACGAACATGGAACTGTGCCCAAAGAGCCTATGTGTACCTAGACCTGATACAGAAGACAAGATCCTAGATTTCTGCGCCAACGGCTTTATAAAATGAGATTTGGGGGAGACTTAGTAGAGTATGAGTATTTTTTGTATGTGGAACTATGTGAACTCTATGGCCATACAGTGGACAGTAACATATTTTCCAAAGATGGTCGCATTAACATGTCCCATCCTGCACACACTTCTGCAATGTGCTCTTGCAACATTTCCATCAAAGACGGAGAGTCTATTTCTCCACTCCTCAGAACTTTCATGGGCCTTGCAACTTCTCTGAATATGAAAAGGCAGAAGTGGCACTGCGCTGGTACCAGGAGTAGCTCTGCCAAATGTTCCTTTGGAGGCAAAATCATCCCCATTAGAGAACGATTGGTCTACAGCCTTAAATTTTTCAATACATGAATATTTCTATCTGATAAATTTCATTCACATTACCTAAGCTGATAGTTTTCTTTTCATTAGAAATTCTCTGATGTACATAAAGTTGTTTTATTGAAAACTCTGACACATTAAAGATATTTATAAGGCTTTACTTTATTCTCAGTGTTCAATGAGCTGTCTCTGCCTGATAAAGGCATTCCTACATTTCTTGCATTCTTTGTCTCTTCATGTCACTTGATTTTTCCATCAACTGACTGGGGATGAAAGATGACACCACAGGAATTGTGATGAATTTTCTACACAATTTGTGTGAATTTTCTACACAAGGACTGGTAACTTCTCACAGAAGTCTGTCTCAAATTCATAAAATGAATGGCCACAATGGACTGGTAGTGTTGTAAATAGATTACACATGGGAGGGCCCAACAGTGAATATTTATTTCTCACTCAGTTAAAGCAAAAATGAACATTTTTTTTTGGTAGAGTTGGGAAAATTTCTGCTCTCCATAATCATAATCAATTTTTTCTGTCTAAAGTCATGGTTGCCATCTCCACCCAGTGGCTCCCCAGGCAAACAGGGGTGGGGGTGTGGGGAGCAGATTTGCGCTTCAGAATCACAGGGCATAAAAAGTCAGCAGGA